TTTAAGAGTTTAAGAGTTTTTAAGAGTTTTAGCCAAATGTTTTATAATATAGTATAGATTTATAGAAAAATTATAAATAATTATAAAAATAATTGAATTACATTTTTATTAACCGATTATTACAAAACAAATGTTTTTAACATTTTTTAAAACCTTACTGCATACAATCCTACGAAATCCCATGAAATCTTTTAGGTCCTGTTTGGTTTGTAGGAATTGAATGGATTTGAGGCGATTTGGATTTCAAATCCATTCCAATCTCATGTTTGGTTTGTTAGATAGTCCAGATTTGAAATCCTATGATTTAATTGAAATCCCATAAACATGGGATTTTGAAATCCTATGATTTAATTGAAATCCCATAAACATGAGATTTTGAAATCCCATAAACATGAAATTTTGAAATCCTTAGGGGATGCAAGAGATGTCACGGGATTTCGTAGGATTATACGCAACAAGCTTCTGAAAGTGTTAAAAATGTTTGTTTTGTAATAATCAATTAATAAAAATGTAATTTAATTATTTTTATAATTTTTTTGTAAATAATGGAATCCAATTTTATTCCAAACATTTTAAATTCATTTCATTCCAAATCTCTCCAAATTCAAATCCTTCAAAAACATTCCTCCAAATCAAACGGACCCTTTAAGGATTTCAAAATCCTATGTTTGAATGATTTCAATTAAATCTTAGAATTTCAAATCCGGATAATCCAACAAACCAAACAAGTCACAAAAATAAGTATGAAATTACATATATGAAATACATAAACAATCGTAGTTAACTATCATGACCGAATTTTTGCCATATATGCTCAATCAAATCATTTTTAGAACGTTATGAGCTTCCCTATCTAAAATACATAAATTTTTTGGGAAGTTTGGATTTATAGCAGAAAATTGAAAGAAACTGATTTTTTTTTGGAATTTGCAAGATAACAAGATGATTGAAATGAAGAGATTGATTGGTGTGATGAAAGTATGTCAGGTGCAATTTGGTTTCTCAAAATGACGATTCTGAAAGTTGGTTCTCCAAAATATGAATCATGTGTAAGTTAGTTTCCCAAAATGACGATTTTGAAAGTTGGTTCCCCAAAATAGGAATCAGGTGCAAGTTGGTTCCCCAAAATGACGATTTTGAAAGTTGGTTCCCCAAAATAGGAATTAGGTGAAAGTTGGTTCCATTTTGATGCAATTTTTTCTTATAATTAATACAAATAAAGTAATAATTAGTTTATAAACATTTTTACACAATTTTCATATATATGAATACGTACATATAAAACAGTACCAAATTTGAATGAAAATTTGATATATTTAAGACGTTCGAAAAAACCCGATTCGTACAAAAGAAAAAATAGTAATGGTGGTCGACGATGGTTGTGGTGGCGATCGGTGGCCGATGATGATTGTGTAGAAACAGTAGTAAAAAAGGTTTTGAGAACACAATATAGGAGGTCATTTACCAGACGCTTAACGAATGAGCATAACAAGAATAAAAAATATTACATGACGATAGACGTAAAAAAGACTGATATTCTTACCCAATTAACATTTACCGAATAATAAGGATGCATAAAAATCCGACAAATTCGACCATTATGTATTTTTAATGAAAGATATTGCATTATTAGTCTTCTGAGCCGTTGGATTCTGTTCCAATTGTACGGTGCTATACCCACCCTTGGATTACAATAGTTCCATGTGTCCCATCATGCTTTCCTTTTTGTTCAATTATTTAAAGGTCTTTTTAATATTTAATTTCTTAATAGCTAAGGTTTCTATTTACTTTGTTTAGTGTTATTTGCTTTATGTCGTTTTTATTTATGCGAAAAAGCTCGTTTCTTAAATACTTATTGGATAAATGTTTTATTCTTTTTTTTATTAACCTGGATATTCAACTCGTTATGTGAGTCGACTAATTTCAGGACGACCACCTGCTCTGCAGATAGCCTGGAGTCACCGTATTTGAACCTCATTGACCACAAGAGGATTTGTATTTCTCCGAGGATTTGAACCTGAAACCTCCAGGTATTTTTGACCTTTGGATCCGAGCTCAAACTAATCAGACACCACCCTTGTGGTTATAAACGTTTTATTCTTAAGGATCTGTTTGATTTGTAAGATTGTTTTTGAAAAATTTGGATTTTATGAGGGATTTGGATTTGAATGGATTTAAAATCATTGATGTGTTTGATTTGTAAATAATTTATAGAAAAAATTATAAATAACTGTAAATAAATTGTATTACATTTTTATTAATCGATTATTACAAAACAAATGTTTTTAATGTTTTTTAAAACCTTATTGCATACAATTCGACGAAATCCCGTGAAATCCCTTAAGGATTTCAATTAAATTCTAGAATTTCAAATCCGGATAATCCAACAAACCAAACATGTAATTGAAATGGATTTGAAATGCAAATCCCCCAAATCCATTTCATTCATTCAAACCAAACGGGACCTAGAAGAAATTATATTCACTTATCTTTACAGAGTTAGTGACTACCAGCTAAAGACCACTTTCAGAGCAAATGCAAACCACAAAGATGATTTATAGGCTTGTTAAAGTTTAGGTCTCACCATCAGACTTTTCACTAAACCTCAGGGGCCAAAATTATAGTTTACTTTAAGTTTTATATATATGAAACTCCATATTTACATGTGAATGTTTCCCATATGAAACTTTTTTTTATTAAGAGTTGTAACCAATTGTTTCATATACTTGATTCATATACGAATTAACAATCAATAAACAACATCATATTCAACAAATTAATCCAGTAGTTTATATCCATATATTGACTCCCATGAAAAATGGTCTAATATAATTCTTATACGAAAATACATTTTAATGTTATCATCGCTTTTGATTTCAAACAAATAAGATTTTTAAGAAAAATGATAAATCTGCTAAATATGGTAGATATTAAATAAAAACAATCAAAACAATGGTTGGGCTGTTCACTCATTAAAACAGTACGTGAGCTGGGTTTAAAACGTCATGGGACAGTTCAATCTATATTTTAATCAATAATAATATAGTAGATATACACAGTTATCACTATAAACCTGTATTACAACAATTAGAAGATGATTTTTTGAAAGCACATTTATAATATATTGTAAATACTTTAATAAGTTTATTCTTGAAAGAAAGAAAAAAATTCAAATGTTATCATATTTGAAAATATGATTCCTATTTTGAGTAATGTATTCTTAAAACTTTCATTTTGATATATAAAATTTTAAATATTTAAATATCTAAATAACCAATTAAAAAATTAACCAATTATCATACTGGTATGATGAATAATATGGTATCCAAATCCAAATTTTTTCCCCATGCAATATCGCCATTTTGACAACATTGGAATTGATTTAATAGGACGCTCCCTATAAATAGACTGTAAATTGATTTTTTGAATTTTTCTGCTTGCTAAAAGCTTCGAAAAACTCTCCCCCTCACCGACCGGAACCTGTTGCCGGCGATCAGGTATTCCGACGACGATAAAATACATAAGTTAAGCAGARTAGATTATTGCTACGTTTTCTTTATTTATTGGAATGGAARWTTYTTCRTCTCAAGTTCCTTTGCCACCTTCGGTGGAGGAGTTGATAAGGAAGATATGTATACAGAAATGTATAGCACCACCGRAWGTTTATGCCCGCCGGTTGCTTGCGACGGTCACCGAAGCATCGGCGATAGGAATTTTGAATAAAATTGCTGCTTCGAGTAACATCCGTACGTTTTCGGGCTTCATTGTTCACATGGTAAAGGCGGATACAATGGCGGCTTCTTCTTCCTCTGACCAAGTTTTTSGTTCACCACAGAGGCGATCGCCTCCCTCTTCTTTTACTGCTGGAGGTCCTCAAAGTAAATACTCTTTCTCATGGAAGCATTTGGAAGTCGTTATTTTATTTTTAGTAGCATTTTTTTTGTTTTAGATCGTAATGATCCATCATATCATGTGTTTTCACTTGTTTAGTTGTTTTTTGTGTTGTTGTGGTTTAGGGTTTATCCTAAAATGTATAGTTTGTTGTCTGAAAGTAAATCTGGCTATTTTCATCTAWTATAAGTATTCTATTTAATCGTTTAGAACATTTTGTTCCTTATTCAGAGTTCTTCTGGTTTAGTTAATCGCAGTCATCATATTCTTTCTCGAAATAGATACATTCATGTGAATAATAGTGTTTGAAAGGGGCCTCTCAAAAGTATTTGGAATTATAGCAGAATGGTTACTATTTTTGGTATACTTTAATTCAGTAAGCACAGTTCGAATATGGATGCTTGTTAATTGTTATAGAATGTTGGATGTAAGAAGTAGAATGCTTAAGTGTGGTGTTCAAAATGTGAAGAAATTAATGTCATTGTTTGAGTTTAGATTAACTTTCTTATATCAAGTGGAGGAAATTTTGAATTTGTTCTAACCTCGGTGTCAATATCTCGGATGTTTATATAGACAATAGATCCTTAACTTAATCAAAGATGTTCCATTTTGATGCGAATTTGTATTCATGAAACTGGTCATCAGTTCCTTACCTTAATATAAAGAGGAAGAAAGATATAATGTTGAATAATATTCAGGAAATCTTCTATATATAGGATTGCTAAGTTTTTTCTGGTTTGAGTGCAGAAAGGGCATGCTATTTTTCTCCAAATGTACGCTCACCCGGTTCTAGTTACAAGTCTAGAACCATTCCTGAGTACTTCCCTAGATCTCCAAATGATGGTTATGGTTCTTTGGTTACCAAGCAAATTATAACATTTTCATCGTCAGGTTTCAAGGACGCCAATCCTRACACCACCACTTGTCACTTGACTGAACCTTCGGCCTTTACTCATCGTGTTTCTTCGGTTCAAAAACAGCTTACATTCTCACCTTGCTCTAATTTGAAGGATGCAAATCCTGGAAACATTTCACAGCAATTTTCTGACCCTCAAAATGGCAACAATCATGTTTCTCCGGTACAAAGACAGCTTATATTCTCACCGGACTGTAGTTTGGATGCTGCAAATGCGAGTAAAGAAAGACAACACTTTTTTGACTCTCCAAATGCCAGCCATCCTTTTTCTGCGGTCCAGAAGCAACCTACTCTATCATGGTGTTCTAGTTTAAAGGGTGCAAGTCCTAGAAACATAGCAAAGCACTTTTCTGATTCTTCAAGTGCCACCCACMATGGTTCTGTAATTCTAGAGAAACCTACTTTATCACCTTGTGAGAGTTTTGGAGCTGCCACTCATAGAAATCTTGCACTGGGGTTTGATTCTATGACTACAAACCATTCAGAAGGTACAGGCAATTTTGCTATTAGTCAACAGTCACTGCTCCTTGCTGAACTCGAATACAGGAAGATGTTCATGGTATATAGTTATGTTGGGAGGTTAGTAAAGATGTTGGCTTCTGATGGTTATGTCATGTGCTTTTATATTTGATCACTTAAATTTAGCTAAATTGTGCACAGGAAAAGGCTTGAAGATGTGGTCTCTGTTGAAGATGCCATTGAAATAAAATCCATGAAAAGCGTGTCAATGGTGGATTTTGAGGCTAAAATCTGGGCCAAGTATGGTCGGCAATTTTGTGAACCCTCTGATAGGGCAATGGTACGAAATGCATTTTCATGATTTATTCGTTAATCGTTAATATTATTAGTTAATACTATTAGTTAATAATGGAGGCATTGACGAAGGTTCGTTTTAACAATTTCTTTCCAAAAAGATAAATTTTATTACTAATATATAGCTGTCTTTTTATTTAAGCTTCTATAGTCAGACGACCTTGTACAATTCTAGGACAATTTACATGAATTGTTGTTTGGTTATGCAAGAATTCAAATTTTAATGAAGTATATAAGCATATTGATTTTGGAGTTCAAAAAGATCAGGCTGAGCTGTACAATCATAGAAGGCCATATCATATGCTTCAATTGTTCMTCACTAGRATCTCTAATTGTCTTTCATATTGCAGCATTTTGACTGGGATTCTGGAAAGACTTATCTTTATCATTGTTATGTGTGCGCTGATGGAAATTACCAGTTTAAGGTTTGTATTTCGTTCTTCTTAGTCTTGTTTAAATAGCTTGGCCCTTGCTTTATCTATTTGGCYTTTTGCATTCCCAAATTGATGAATTTTTATCTTTAATTATTCAATGTCGAGGCTARTTATCCAATGTTGATCGTTGAGGAAATACAACATTATGATTTGTATATGGCCTTTTGAGTGGTGGACACATGATGGGCTTATGGAGACTAAGGGCCTATTTGGTTCAGACATGGGAATGAAAATGGGAATGACAGGGAATGAAAATGGGAATGAATACTGCATTGATGCTGTTTGGTTAATACTGGGAAATCATTATCATTATCATAGATGTTGTTTGGTTGCTTAGCATATATAATAACTGAAATTTTGTTTTATAGCATTGTACTACCATTTTATCATTTAAACATAACTTCAAAAAACACAATACAAAGTATGTTTCATCCAACCTCAAAATATAATATAATACATTTCTATGTTTCAACCGACTTCAAAAATACAATATCATTTAAACATAACTTCAAAAAACACAATACAAAACATGTTTCATCCAATACAATACATTTCGAT